TCTATCTCTTCTGCTAAAGGACTATCTGTTCTGCTAAAGGACTGATCTGAGTCGTGTATAAGGGGAGTGTGTTGGAATGTGTGGATTTATAGAACCTGTTTAAGTGGAACAGATGACAGACAAAGCCCTTGGGATTTTAAGAATTAAATATAATCAAGGTAGATAAGGCTTAGATTAAAATATTAATACAACTGAGAGCTCTATCACATTTTTCCTCTAAATTCTGTGTCATCAATCTTGATTGATTAGATCTCCTAATCTATTTGAGAAAGAGTAAGTACAGCTATGTGCATAAATTTTACAATGAAAGAGTAAACTAAGGCATAGCCAAGTAAAATGACCTAATCCTTGGAACTTGTCAAACCCAATGATTAAAATGGTCAGACTCCTGTAGGCCAAATTCCGGATCATTATGTGGAAAACCAGAACTGTCCACGAAGGGTCAGGCATCCCTACAGCCCAATGGAAGGGGCTTCCAGACTTTGGCCTTCTCAACAGTGACCTCTTTTAGGGAGATCCACTTGTTTCTAACTTGTCTCTTTCTCCCACTAGTCTGTAGTCCACTTTAAACTCTCAGGAAAGACCCAACTCTACCCTCAGGAAAGAAACACCATTTCTCCTTATGTTTATTTCAGAGTTCTGTTCATGCTTTCAACAAATCTGAGAGAGACTTCAGGCCTGGGCATCATGCTCTACTTAAGAAATAAGAATAGAAGTAGGAAATCCAATTCCACTTCCTGCTCCCAGTTCAGTTGCTAACTCTTTTCCTCAGAGACCATTCAGATAAACTCTGGAATGGCTATTTTTCTTGTTAGTGTGATCCTGCTAGCCTTGCCTCTTAGGCATAAACAACCTTCTTCCCTATTATGTTGCTGGCACTTTCCTATCAGGAGTCTGGTACTAGTTGGCTGTGCTTTTTCTCTTTGATTCCAGAAAGGAATAGCTTCAACTCCAATTAAATTTACTTGAACAGTTGATTACATTCTTTGGATTTTTAGATCCCTCTCCTTGACAGATGAGTGGGAGGAGTTTAGTAATACATTCTTGTACTTCTAAGAAAATGGTTTCTAAGTTGGAAAGTGGGATAAAATATAATAATAATAATGGTTATTGTTATTGTTAAATTTCTTGAACCTTCTAAATTAATTTACTCGTTGTCTACCAAGATATTATTTTTTTTTTCAGTACTGGGGTTTGAACTCAGGGCCTCACACTTGCTAGGCAGGTGCTCTTACTGCTTGGGCCACTCTGCCAGCCTCACCTACCAAGATGTAGGACAGAATGAAGGTGACAGAAACTCTTGAAAATAGCATTAAGTGAATCCTGGACAGAGTCCAGGGAAACCTCTGACAGACAATCAAACAGCACTTATTGAACGTATACAGTGGCCAGAGATTTGAGTTCTGGGATCAGAAGGAAGATTAATTCACTTACCATGTCCTTACCAGTGCCTGGAACAGTGGATTATGAGACCTCTACAATGTGATGTAGGAGGTATTCAGTAATAAGACAGAGTCTCATAGACAAATAAAGAGACATCTCCCTTCTTAACACTGTCACTGCTCCTCAAATTAAGTAGACTTTCCTTAGTTTGGCATTTAAGGCCCTCCAAAATCTTGCTTTCTCCTACCTTTTTAGTTTTCTCATCTCTCTCTATAGCAGTATTGTCTAACAGAAATGTAATGCAAACCACATATGTGATTTTATTTTTGGTAGTAGTTATATATTTAAAAGGTAAATTAATTTAACAATGCATTATAACTGAATAACCAAATAGTATCATTTTAACATATATAACCAATATTTTTAAATCCTTAGGAGACATTGTGCATTCTTTTTTATGTACTAAATCTTCAGTATTAGATGGTGCAGAAACTCTGCAGGCAGATCATTCTGTTTTGTGCACAAGATCTCTATCATCTCTTTTCCTTTGTTCCTGCCTCCCATGTGGACTTTTCCCACTCAGATACTAATGCTTTTTCTTTCACATAGCAGCTATCACATTCTGCTGAGGTTGTTTATATATTTATCTTCCTCTCCATACCCTCTATCTTAAGGGGCCATTTCACAATTTACCTGCTTCTGTGTCTTTAATGCTTTAGTGTGATTATAGTTACAAACAGCCAACATTTCCTGATGTCTTGCCATGCACAGAGCACTGTAAAAAAACTACTTTGTATCCATATCATACTCATCAACTCATTCCCCCCTCCTCTCTCTTGGACTGTTTTGAAACATGTGGTCTAGGCTGGCTTCAAACTCACTATCCTCCTGTTTCAACCTCCTTAGTGCCTGTAGGTATGCACCACAATTGACTGGCTCCTTATATTTTCATTTTTAATTTACAATATCTTTATGATTTACTCCTCTTACTGGTAGTTTACAGATGGGGATACTGAGGCTTTAAAGGTTATGGAGCTTGTCCAATACTACAGAGTTGTAGGGTCTAGAATTGAACAAAGGCAAGCTGATTTTAGATGTATGCTCTTTTATTTTCAATTGGGAAACATTATATGTGGAAAATGTATGAACTATAAATGCACCACCATCTAACAAATTATAAAGCCCACAACAGTGTAACCACCATCCATCCCAAGAAATGGAAGATCTATAGAATTCCAGCCTACTGATCTTAACTCCCTCCCCATAGGGCTTCCAGAAGTAGCTGTTAATCACCCTTTCATGCCAGTCAATTATTTACTTTTCTTTATAGTTTCAATGCTTAATTGTGCATTCTTTTTTCCTATTTGTGAATCTTCTAAAAGTGGAATTACACAATACATATTCTTTTGCCAGTGACTTATCTTACAATACTGTTTTGAAAGTTCCATCTATATTGTTGCATGCAGCTTGTTCCCTTTCCCAGACTCCTGTGAGAATTCCCATTGCTTTGTGATTGTCAGTCTTTCTTATTTTAGCCATTCTGATTGGTGATGTAGAATTCTATCATTATGGTTTGAATTACCTTGTTTTCACATGAGTGAACTACTCATAAGTTTACTGGTTATTTGGATTTCTTCCTTAGTGAAGGGCCTATTTGAATCTTTGGTTTTTTCTCCCTAAAGTGCTGAGGATCAAACAAGTGCTCTACCTCTGAGCTTTATTCTCAGCCCTTTTTCTTATGATTACAGTTCTTTATATATTCTGGATACAAGATCTTTCTTGGCTATACCTATTACAAAATTCTTACCCAGCTCTGAGTCTTGCCTGTTGTTTGTTTGTTGTGGTTTTTGAGAAAGGGTTTCACTAGGTAGCCAGTTTGACCTTGAATTCTTGATCTTTCTGTTTTGTTTGATTTTGTTTTGTTTTTTGAAGTTTGCTTTTTAACTTAATGGTGTATTTGGTGAAACCAAGCCTTTTTTTTGTGTGTGGTAGTGGGGTTTGAATTCAGGGGCTACACCTTGAGCCCTTTTTGGTGATGGGTTTTCCGGCTGGTGTCGAAGTGTGATCTTCCTGATCTCTTCCTCTTGAGTAGCTAGGATTACAGAGCCACTGGTGCCTGGCTAGAATTGATTTTTGTGTGTAATGTGAAGTGTGCAAATTAATTTTTCCCCAGCATAGAACTGTTCTTCCTATCACCAACTATTGAAAACTGTTCTTTAGGCATTGATCTGCATTGCCATCATGATAACATAAATCAAATTCCCATGTATGGGTGAGATTTTCTTGGTTAATTTGTTCTGTTGGTATATTGGTATATTCTGTTCATTATCATATTTGAACAACATCACATAGATTTATTTATTATGGCTTTGTAAACAAGCATAATATCCTATAGCATGTCTTTCCTTTCTTCCTACATCTTGTCCTAATGAATGCTTGTTTTTGCTCTTTCATAAAATTTTAAGTTAGCTTGTCAAGTTTCTCTGTATCACATACAGACAAATCTATTGAGACTTCATCTGGAATTGTGCTGGGTCTACAGCTCTGGAAAGTTTAAATTTTTTTCAGTATTGCTGCTTTTAATCTATGAACCCGTATAGCACTGATGTACTTAAGTTTTCTGTAGTGTCTTTCAGTTCTTTCTTCATGTAGGATTTTTTTTTTTGGGGGGGGGGCAGGCCGGACTGGGGTTTGAACTCAGGGCTTTGTGCTCTACCTCCTGAACCACACCTCCAGTCCATTTTGCTCTGGTTATTTTGGAGATGGGGGTTCCTTAACCATTGCCTGAGCTGGCCTCAGACCGTGATTCTCCGGATCTCAGCCTCCCAAATAGCTAGGATTACTGGCGTGAGCAACCAGCTCATAGCTAAAATGTTGACTTTTTGAAAGCTTTTTTTTTTTTTGCTCTGGGGATCCAGTCCAGGGCCATGTGCATGTTTGGCAATAGCCCTACCACTGAATTACACCCAAGCGCCTGATTTTTTTTAAACTTATTAACTTTATTAGACTTTTATTAATTGTACAATTTACATACAGATTCTTTTGGATTTGCCATTTACACAATCCTATCATCCGTGGAAAGGATAGTTTTGTTTTCTCCCATTTAACCTTTATTCCTTCACTGATCAAGGACCCTCGGTGGCAACACGGGCACACCTGCACACTTCATCATTACTTTCAATCCCTCCGGCCTCAAGTCAACAGCATCAGGAGGGTTGATTGGGAGGTGAAAAGAGGAAACGCCTGCGACAGGCCAGGGCACAGAGACCACACCGCGCTGCAACCTCCTTTTTCCGTCCGCCAGCAGCACGTGCCGCCCCCCAGTCACGCCGGGACTACATCCCCCACAATGCAGAGCGCGGGGCTCCGGGAGTGGGGGCAGGGCCGGCCGGGAGGCGGAGCGGAAGCCAAGTGCGAGGGACAAGCAGAGTAAAATCTCCACACGCCGGGAGCCCAGCTCGTCCTGACTCCCCACCCCCGGCCTTTCTGCATCCCGACCTGAACGCTGCTTTTCTTGTACGACACGCAGCTGACGCCCGCTCATCGGCTCGGGCTCGGGAGCCCCGTGGCGGCGGCGGCGGTAACGAGAAGCCCAGAGGCAAGGTAACGGGGAGGGGGCAAAGGGGAGGCGGCGAAGGGGAGGCGGTGTCCTCGCGGACCCGCCCCGGCCGCCCTCCCCTGCTGCGTCCCCGGCCTGAGCCGTCCCCCTTTCCTCTCCCCCGGCCGCGGTCGGTCGTGGGAACCCGGCTCGGGAACGCGCCTGTCCGCCCGTCCGCCCAGCCGCTGCGGCCCGGGAGCCGCTTTGTCCCTTCCTCCGGCCGCGACCCTGCCCTTCGGGCGTGACAGCCGGGCGAGCGCGGCCTCGGGCTCGGTCCCCGCTGCAGCCGCGCGCGCACTTCTCTGCTTTTGACAGCTCAGTTGTGTTCCACTTTGGGAAAAAGAGGAAGTCAATGCCCCTTTAAACTCCCTCTTCAAACTCGTCTCCAGGGTGACCGGTGAGGATGAACTTGAACTGCGGGGCGGATCGCGGCGGCTGAATGGCTCAGACAGCCGGGCTTCGAACCCTAATGGTCGCTCTGCCCGCCTTGGGGGTGGGGGGTGGGGTGGGATCGTGACTCTTCCGAGGTTCCAAGCCCGAGGTGTCTCATCCAGCAGGTGGAGATAACGCACATCTTTAAGTAGTTAGACTTATCAATAATAAGCCCGTTGCACCATCGTTTCTTTATTTGATGAAAAAGATCCTTTGGTTAAGATACTGGAGCGGCCTCTGGACTTTTGAGGCTTGTTTAAGCCATTGTTTAATCATTAGCATCCTAGGTTGTGTGTTCTTCACTTTATACTTTGTTCACCTTCAACCTAAGCAAGGAATTCCTTTAAAAATAGGCCGTCTTCATAATTTCCACTGTTTTAAGATGGCTGAGAATGTTCTCAGGAAATTGATGACTCTGCTTTTCTGGGGATCAGCTCTGGACCAGGACTTACTCCTTCCCCCTTCCCCCCCTATCTTTGTAGTGCTGGAATCCTCAGAGCTGCTTAAGCGTTTTCTCAGAGCTAGCATCTCGATCTGTGCAGTCCTGTGGCTGGCTTTCCCACCTTTTCTCTGTGTTAACTTTTTTCTTTCCACTGTCTCACTGGCTCTTAATTTTTAGCCCCCCCACCCCTGGAGATTTGTGTTTCCAAGTTGTAGTTTTTGTTCTCAAGACACGTTGAATGAATAAATGGATGCCATAGATTTGATAAGGAATGACTTGAAAAATTTCACATTGAAGTTCCACTTCATTTTCAATGTTTTTTTCCACTATTTTAAATTTTATTGACGTTGGTGATGGGGTTTTTTCTTCAGGGAAATCTTTCTCGCCCTGAATTGAAATTTATTTTTCATTTAAAATGTCTGCTCTGTACTATTTTCAGTTCCCACAGATTATTGTGCAACATGGAAACTAAGATGTCCTAAGTAAATGCTGTTTTTACATGTACAGTTGTGGGAAAATGCCAGTAGGCCTGATGAATTATCTGTGTAATGTCTTTAGTGACGAGTGACTTCTAAAGACATTTGTATAAGGGAAAGAGGAGAAATCTAGTGAGTGTATTTTATAAGGGTAACAGAGAGCCAGGAAGTATGTGGAAAACTTACCTAAACTGTAGAAGGAGGCATATACACACAAAGCTCTCTGATTAGCTGAAAAATGCGTGGTAAAAGTACTCATTCTGAGGAAGATGTTTCCATGTTGGTGATATTTAGTGCAGGACAGAGAGTGAGAACTATGGAAAAAGGAGACCTTGTCCTGCCTTGGTCAGTGTCCTGTAACCTTAGTTACATCGTGACACTCATTTCCTTATCTCTAAAGTAGTGAGTGGGTCTGATTCCAAAGACTCTTCTAGCTCAGACTTTCAATGCTAAAAGGGGTTTTAAAGGTTCTTTTAACGTGAAAAAAAAAAAAAAGATGTAGACCCTTTTATTCCTTTGTGTTTTAGGGTTTTTTTTTCCTGTGGTAGGTGGGATAGTTCTCTCAGTCCACCCTGAGGAAAAGGATACTCATGAATGAAAAGCTGCCAAGAATCTCCACCAACTAGTTAATCTCTCTAATGAGCTGCGTTGTTTGCTGTGAATTTTTGACGTGCTTAGTATTCTTTCTCCCTAGTCTCTAGCTCTTTTTTTTATTTTTTATTTTTTGGTGGTAGTGGTGTTATGTATGAGCTCAGGACTTCACAGTAGCTAGGCAGGCATTCTACCTCTTGAACCACTCCACCAACACTTTTCTGTGCTGTGTATTTTCGAGATACGGTCTTCTAAAGTCTTTGTCCCGACTGGTTTTGAACCACGATCCTCCTGATCTTTGCCTCCTGAGTAGCTAGAATTACTGGCATGAGCCTGCCCTCTAGCTCTTTTCTTTTGTTCATAATGTGTGTACCTACTGCGCCTGCTTCTTTATAACTTTCACTTATTAGTCCTCTAACCTAACTTCATTGTTTCTTTTTGTGAATTCTTCAGTTTCTGCCAACCCTTTGGTTTTCTCTGGGGCCTCTTTTCATAGGAGGCCTCTGTCAAGGGTGCCCCATGTGGTAGTGGAGGTGGGGTCGTGTGTACAAATCATGATTGGCTGAGGCTGTGGGCAGGTCAAGCTCTGTGACTCAGGCGTCTAATACTGCATGATATATTTTAGAGTAGACTTTTCTGTAGCCCACTGATTAAATAGTTTTACTTTTGCTGTACGTAATATTTTTTCTTACTTATCTACCCTTTTTCTTTTATTGATTTATGTAATTTTAAGTGCTATTGTCTTCTCCCATCTGAAAATGACCTGGTATCTTTGAGATTCATATTTCTCTTATCTTAGCAGGAATTCCAGTATTGCTTTTCTCTAGGCAGTACTTTTTCTTTTTCATCTTTATTTTTATTTCCTGGTTTTGGAGATTGAACCTAGTAACTACACCTCTAGGCCCAAGGCAGTGCATCTTAAATCTTAGACCTAATTATGGAGTAGATAACTGTGTCCTGTGTTATATCTTTTCCCCAGTTAGTAGCCTCAGGCAATATTATGTAAAGAAAATATTTTAGGAATGGACCTTTTTCCCTGAGATTGCATTCCAGGGTTGAGTCTATGGAAGGCTCATTTCTCTTTTTTGGAGAGAACTATCTGGACCTCTGAATTCTGGGGAACGTACCATGTCTCATTTTAATAAATGTGTGCCTTTCTGGCTGTAAATTCCTTTGGAGATTAACTAATAGGTAGTGATTCTCATAGCAAAGGTGAGAATTTGCCTGAGTGAGAGCTGTGCTGCTTGCTAGTTGCTGCTATTGTTGTCGTTACTTTTAGCCATAAGTTATAACTGTACAAAAAGCCCAACGCTGAAAAAAATGGGGTTTGAATGGGAGATTTTAAGGTAGGATTAGCCATCTGTTAGTGTTTTTAATGTTGCTATTGCAATGTTTGTATAAAAATACAGGAAGTACTACTTCATGACAGGCAGTGTGACTACAGCTCATAGTAAGAGATCTTTTTGTCTCCACTTCATAGGTGAATAGCTATGTATTCATATGTGTATCTGTGTATGTAAAATTAAATAACTGAGAAAAGTTTCACAAAGCAAAATATGTAGTGTATAAAATGTACTCTGGTGGTTTCTGTTTTTAAAAAAGTGTTAGTTGCACTTTTTTTTTTATCAACTTAACAGTTTCCCTGCTTTTGAAAAACACTGGAGTCCTGAGTTGAGCTTGGATACCTTATTTTTCACTATTTGACATTGAGTAGTCATTAATCCCTTTTGTGCTTTCCTTTCCTTATCTTCATAATGAAGATGTTCCAGCTTAAATATTTGATGAGTCTTTGTCTTAACTTTTCTCTAGTAATAATGGACTAATGTATTTGTCTTTTGACTTCTGGCTAGGGAGAAACCACTGAGAATTTGCTTACATATCTGGTTATTTATGTGGTGTTCTCTTTGGCAAGAGGCAGAGCTTTTACCAGTACTTTTCTCCAAAGATCTTATAAGTTGGAGCGGAGATGTTAAGCCTCTAATGAACATAAACATTTAGAAAAATATTTACCTGTGTTTATTGTTCCACTTTTGCATTCCTCAAGGAATAGTTAGCAAGTTTGAAAAATTGTACTTAAAATGCTTATTGACAATTTCAAGTTAACGTGCTGATAGACTGCTACCTAGACCTTATTCCATACCTCAACTTGTAACTGCCCCTTCGGATTAGAAAACACCAAGAATATGTTTTTCCGTGTAAAGGCCGTATTACCAGTCAGTGTACTTGCCACTCTCCTAAGAAAGGGGAATTCAAAGATTTTTTTGCTTGTGGGTTTCTTTTGTTGACTTTGAATGGTTTCTCTAAACCAGGCTGTTCCACAATTGATTGGGAGCCCTCTCCTGCTTATTTGTTTGTACTGAGGGGTATTCTTATTAGAATAAGATATTTACTGCCTGCTCCTGGGATTCTGGTTAGACTTCTGCTAAATGTTTTAGTAGGAAGGCAATTGTACTTCCTCACATCAATTATTACCTCCTCAGTGGGCCTTTTCCTTGCCCCCCCCACTTTCCCAGACACAGCACCCTGTTTACATTTTCTTCAGAGTTTGTATCATAAGCTGAAATTAGCTTGTTTCTTTGTTACTTATTAATTATCCCACCCCTACTAAAGAGTAGTCTCCAAGAAAACTGGAAATCCTGTCTCATTTCACCTTTCACATTGCCAGTTCCTGGTACATACTAGGTGTTTTACTAAATATTGTGGATGAACAAATGAATGAATAAACCAGGTTCTTTCATGATTTAAGCAAAGTTGCCTATAATAAAACTGGGCCTGAGTGCATTTTCCTCCAGATTCTTTTTTCTAGAAATGTGTTAGTGTGTTTGCAGATCATGGTGAAGGTCTGTACCTTCAGAAGACCTTATAATTATCTTTGTTTTACTTCATGCTTTTTGCCTGTGTAATACAACTTATTTATTTTAATGTTGCACTGGGAGTTGAACTGAGGGCATCTAGTGCAAGTGTGCTAGCATTTAAGGCATGTCCTCATTCTTTTTTTCCCTCCCTCCCTTCGTCCTTCCCTCCCACTCTCTCTTCTTTCCTTCCTTTCTTTCATGTCTTTTTTTTTTTAGATAAGGTCTTGTGCTAACTTTACCTGGACCTCTAACCTCTATCCTCTTAACTTCTACTTTTAGAGTAGCTGGGATTGCAGGCTTGCATTACCATGCCAGGCTAAATTTTATTCTTAAATCCTTCTTATAATACTTTGATTTCTGTAAGTAAAGTGTATTTGACACTTAATGAGCTAACTTGATAAATTAATGAATAATCCACAGTATGCATCTTCAGAATTTTAGGCTCATTGACCTAAAAACTGCTTTTACTGTTTTTTGCTTATATTCTTTTAAAGCAAAGAAGAAGAAAATATCGTTTAATGTTACAATTCACTCAATATTTACAAGCACAGTCTTTGGCAGGGAGGTCAGGGAGGTATTGTGTAGAGAAAAACCTAGACGG